CTCTCCTAGTCTGGTAGCCCTGCCTATCCTTTCTGCCTGGCCACTTCCTGCCTGTCCTTTGGCTGAAACAACTTTATTCATCAACCAATAAGAGAAACATATATTCAGAGCAGCCAGAAGGACTTTGGCCATCAGAGGAGATCCTGAATTATCCTAGTGCTCTTAGAACAGAAACAGTGGAGGGCAAGTTGTGGCTCAGTGGCAGACACTTGCCTGGCATGCATGAGGCCCTAGGTTCAATCCAAACAGGGGGTAGGAAGGGCACAAAAAGGACAATGTTGGTGACGGAGGCAAAGATCAGAGTGATGTGGCCACAAGCTAAGGACAGCTGGTAGCCACTGGAGAGGCAAGCAAGGGTTTTTCCTCACAACCCTAGGAGGAATACAGTCCTGATAACACCTTGATTTTTTATTTTATTTTTTTGAGACATAGTATCACTCTGTAACTCCGGCTGGACTTGAACTCAATTTGTATCCCAGCTGGCCTCAAACCCATGGTGATGCTCCTGCCTCAGCCTCTCAAGAATTGAGCTTACAGGCTTGTTTCTGCCACCTGCACTGCCTCTGGGACTTCCACAGCCTACAGAGATTCCTGTCCTTTCAGTGATGGGTGGCAGGGCCCTGTTGAGTGGAAAGACAATGACATGACAACAGGCCTAGAAGATGCTGCTGGGTCCAGATTCCCAGAAGAACTTTCAAGGAAAGTGGTTCAAAGTGCCTCCATCATTTCCTGTTACACCATACTCTGAAAAGCTTTGGACTGGAGGCCACTGTCAAAAACTGACACCCCATTTTCCCATGTCAATAGACCCCCTCCCAAGCCAGCACGGAGGCGAGCACAGACCAGCTCAGGAAAGGTTTCTTTTTATCAGTGTTGTCTTTTACTTCAGAGCAGTTCTCCCACACTCATGGGATCCACAGTTCTAGACCAACAAGGGGTCTGAGATCATCCAGAATAGAATATGGGTCTTAGACTGCAAGATTGCTCTCCAGATACTCAGGGCTTGTAAAGAGAAAACGTCCTTCATGGGAGAAAGAGGAAAAGCGGGAAAGGAGAATAAACTTGAAAACCTGTTTGGCCTCACCTGTAATAGGCTGCTGAACAGACGACAGTGAGATGTCCTCCTTGTGCCCCAGACAGCAGAGATCTGGAATGGTGTGGGCCATGACCGCAGCCTATCGACCAAGCGGCAGCCTTCGACAGAGCACCACACTCTAGAGAATTCATCCTTCCTGTGTGAACAGAGGTTACCTGTGGGAAATCGCCTGTCACATGACAGCTGGGGAGGAAGTGCTTAATAGAACGTGGCCTTTAAAGAGAGGCGGTATGTCCATGCATGTAGCTATAGATGCATGGTTCCTTGGAGTGCAAGCTGGGCGTGGTTGGTACCACTAATTAGTAAAGGAAGGGCACCTGTAGTCTATAAAGCTGCACTCAGATGGAGGGACGGAACTCAGTAGAGGCGAATCTCAGCTTCAACAGCAGCCTCTGTGGGAACAGTTGTGAGTAGGACACAGGAGAAGCCATTTTCACTCTTTTTTCTAATCTCCATTCTTTTCCCAAGGGTGTGTATTGCTTTGTTAAAAAGATAAATGTGTACAGTAAGGCACCAGCTCACCTCAAAGTGGGGATGTACTGTACAAAGGTTCCTAGCCAGATTGATTGGTGGTTCGCACTTGTAATTCTAAACTTGGGAGGCTGTGTCGGGAGGGTTGTAAGATCAGGACTAATGTAAGAAACACAAAGAGACCTTGTCTGAGATACCACTCTCTACACCCCATAAAAAGTTCAAGGCCTGCTATGAAGACTGTTCTTTTAAAAGGTTCCCCAGGTGGAGGTAACCTGAGTGACACCCCTGGGAAGGAAGTTCTGATCTTCACTAACCATCTTATGTCACAGAGAGATGGAAGCTGTTACACCATGTTCTTGCCAGCTAGCCTAGAGACTGGGGAACCTTCTAGATGAGACATAGGGATAGAATATCTAAAAGCAGCCAGGCAGTAGTGACACATGCCTTTAATCCCAACACTCAGGGAGGGGAGGTCAGGGGCAGAGGCAGGTTCTCTGAGTTCAAGGCCAGCCTGGTCTACACAGTGAGTTCCAGAACAGCCAGAGCTACAAAGCAAAAAGACTCTGAAAACAACAACAAAATACCTTAGGAGCATAATATGTGTCGGTGTGCACATGTGTGTGAAAAACATGGATAGGATATACATGTAGTTGAACCCAGGAACCATGGAGTCAAACATGGATAGGATGGGTGAGCAAGAAGAAATGTGTTAACGTGTTTAACTCTCTACCTTAATACAGATTGGAACAATCCAAATAGTCATTAGGGTCCTTCGTGTCACGTGATCCCTCATAGACAAAGCTGCTTTATAATGCCAAATCCTTCTTATATCAAAAATAGATCCACTGCTATTTTTTATCTTGGTACTTTCATACAGATGACCTCATTGCATGCTTCAGGGTACTCCAGGACTGGTGGAACTTCCTGTTTGGCAGAGGAAGAAACAGATGCTGCCAGTCTCCATCTCCCTGCCTCCATGGGTGCAGATTCCATGCCCTGTCCCTGCCCAGTCCTTTCCCGGGCAACCCATCATGGGTGGGCAGAACTCTTCCAGAATCCTGCCTGGCTCTTACATGCACACATGCACACACACTGCTTCCTTTGAAGGATGGAGAGAACATCCTGGAGACTGCTCCTTAGGGACCATCTCTTCACCCCAGGAAGTAACCAGAACTCCATGCCTCGGAAGGCTCAGTACAGCACATCAATGGTGCTGAGCAGATCCCCTCTCCTGAGGCTGGAATTGGGCTGAGCAGAATCTCCCGCTGGTTGGCTTGGCATGGCTCCTATGACTCCATACATCCCAGAATCATCCCCTGGGCCCACATCCTGCCCGAGCCTCCCGCTCTGCCCATGATAGTCACCCCGTCTCCCTGGTGGACCTTATTAACCTTCTGACCAGAGGGCTGGGATGGACTGGATGCTTTGGTGAAGAGAAACATCCATCAAAACAAAGGCAAGAGTCTAGAGAGATGGATTAGTGTTAGGAGCTCTTACAGAGCACCCATATTCGGTTCCCAGACCCCACAACCTCCTGTAATTCTGCTTCCCGTGAACCTAGAACCCTCTTCTAATCGCCTCGGGATATTGCATGTGTGTGGTGCACATACATACACTCAGGCGCACACACATACACATTAAGTAAATAAATATTAGTTTTTTTAAAACTAATAAGCAAACAGAAACGAAGGTGCCCCTCAAAAGATGGCTCCGCTGGAGGTGGGTCCTCTCACTAAAGCTGGTGTCAGAAGCACCCCAAAATATGTGCTGTCCTTTGCCTGTTCTCCCCCTTCCAGGACTCGGCCCCACATTCCCTGCTTCCTGAGGTTATGGTGAGAAGAATCATGAGTTGGGCATCTTAACGGATGCCACGGCCACTTGGTGAGTGAGGAAACTGGGCCCAGAGAGGTAAAGGGAAACCCCTAGTCACACAGCAAGTTCAAGGCAAAACTCAGTTACAAAGGTTTCCCTCCTTCTCAAGTAGATCCCCTCCTGTGTTCCACATCACCTCCCTCTAGTGACTGGGCCACCCCCTGAGAGAGCCTCAGATTCACCCGGCCAGTAGAACCATGAAGCCTTGGTATCTCAGAGCCCAGTGAGATGAAGGCTGAGCCTCTCAGACGATGGAGACCACACCCTAGGACACATGATCTAACCTAGAGACACATCCCTCAAGCATCAGATTCCAGAATTTTCCCACCATCTTCCACAGCATAAGGAACTCTTCTGTTGTCGCCTGCAGGGGGACCCTTGCTCACTGAATTTGATGAGCCCTCTCACCTCGAAGTATGGCAGAGCTCTGCCTCAGAGGGGTGGCCCCAGCCTGCATTAGTGATAAATACTGAGAATGAGTTGTTACCCCTTTACATGTTGGGCAGCGGCTTAAGAGGACTAGGACTGGACCTAAGGAGAAAGATAACACAACAAGAAGCAATGGTGCGCCTCAGAAGAAGGTTCTGGGGGGAGGGGTCCTCTCTAAAGCAGCAGTGAAGCTCACCCATCTCCCCCATTCCCCGCAATCCTTCCACAGACAATGGAAGATCAGCTTGCTTGGTAAATGGACAATTGTTCCCCAAGTGCATGAACAACTCAGCAGCATTTGTTGCAGAAGAAAATCAATTAGGCTGGCGAGGTTTCCCTGCCCAGGGAGGCAGGGCATTCCCAATGGCAAACACAGTCCAGAGAGAAAGGCGACCGCACCTGCGCTTTAGTTTGCCCACCTGGAGATGATGGGGGCTCTGGTTCAGTAGTTCATTTTCTGTCCACTTTGGCCATTCCTCTTTTACCATCTCCAAACTCAGCCTGCCTCGCTATCAGTGCAAAAGACTAGAGGCTCTTTGCTGCTCATTGCTCCTCCCACCAGGCAGGCCCACTCTTTGCTGGATGTCAGATAGCATTGACCCACCTCTTCCTGTCATCCTGGAGAGCAGGAAAGCACAGTGGAAAGAGCCCAGAAGGAAGGCCTAACTGTAGCTCTCTTGGCTGTGTATAATGGACAAGTGGCTTAACCTCTCTGAGCCTGGTCCCTCATCTGGACATTAAGAATAACAGTGCTGCTCCTGCACAGCCACAGAAGGTGTAGCAATGGTGTGTGCAAAGCACCCAGTGAGTGCCGGTGTGCCCTACCCCCGAGATCTTCTGTGCTGACCTATACTTAGGGTAGACCTGTGTAAAGGGCCCCACACATGGCCCTGCTGTGGAGAGCATTTACAAAACATTTATAAGGCCACACAAATGAACCTAGTAACAAATTGACTCCATTTTCTACACTTGGCTTTTTTCCAAAACCGGTAGGTCCTCATGTCTTTAGTGAGTGCGTAAAAACCTTTTTAAAACAAAATAATGAATTAGTTATTTTTGAGACTCTCAAGTACCTCACCCTTGTCTCAAACTTATGTCACTGAGGATGATGTTGAACTTCTGATCCTCACACTTCCAGGACCTCCCAGCACTGGGATCACACCTGGTCTGTGTGGTGCTGGGGATCGAACCTAGGACTTTGTTTAGCAAACAGTTTCCCATCTGAGCTATAGCCCAGCCCCACCATTATTGTTATACAAGACATGAAGACATTTCCCATTGCCAATGATCCTATAAAACTGCCTGAGTTACTTATATAATGATATATTTTTAAAGCAGGCATCCTTTTGAAAACTCACCAACTCCTATTTCCACCATGCTGGTCATATGGAGTCTCTGTCATGGTCTGAATGCTGTGTCTCTGAAATTTGTGTGTCAGCCCCCGTGGCGATGGTGTAAGGAGATGGAGCTTAGGTGAAACAGGAGCCCTCATGAATGAGGGTCTGGCCCTTGTAAAAGTCTCCCTAGAGCTAGCTCTCCTCTTCTGTGGTGTGAGGACACTGTGTGTAGGCAGCAGTCTGTGACGAAGACATGGAATTCTCCAGTCTTAAACTTCTGGCCTCCAGAATGGTGAAGGATACACGTCTGTTGTCTCTGAGTTGCCTGGGCTATGGGTTTCTGCAATGTCTACTGGACCTGCTTCTCTCTCACCTGCTGTGATCATGCCTCCCTCCTGGTCCCCCATTACCTCCTGAGCGAATTCTTTGCTGACTGCTTCTGCCCACATCAGACATGCTCACCAGAAAGAAGCTGGAGGGAGGCTGCAAAGGTCTCACCATAAAGCCTTCACCCCAGCCTCCCACCTGCCTTACCTCTGGAGAGCCATGAAAGGTTCCTCACACCCAACACAGAGAGCTCTGCCCACCCTCAGTCCTTGTGACTGGACCTACACATGCCCTTGTGGCCAACAACTGGGTTACATCTAGAGTGGGCTGTGATCACTGTGGGGCCTCTGCTCCTCCTTCCTAATTCCAGGCCTAATTCTGAGCTTGGTGGGGCTTAATTCTCAGGTGAGTTAAAGGGGCTGAGACCATGGTAGCTCAGTGTTCTCAAAGTCTGTGACAAGTACGTGCTGTCACCAGCCTTGGCAGGCTAGCCTGGGTACCTGCGTGCCTCAACCAGGGGAACCTTCCAGATGTGCTGTGGGCTTACAGCATGGGTGCTAGGAATGCTCTTCCCAGGCTCCTTCATGCTCAGACCCCTGGGTGATCACACGTGTGGTATATGGATCCTGAGTCTTGAGCACATTTTTGGAGTTTCTATTTGGAGATGTGGGGAGGCCACTAAGCATGAAGCAGCAGGTACATCCCTGGTTCACCCCATTTCCTCGCCATAATGAGTTTGCATCTGTGGTTTGCACATTCTCTCTGTTTTCCCCCTTTAGGGACACTGAAGATAACCTTCCTATGGGCCTTTTGCTCATAGCATCCCCATGGGGCAGCGCAGGAGTTGCTTGGCCTTTCTAGCCCTAGTGTTGCTTCCTGAGAGCTCTCCTTCCCTCCTTGCTGTGGATTTTCTGGCTCGTCCCCCAACCCACTGCCCAGTGGCCTAGCATTACCCTTGTCCCCAAGGATGCCAGACTGCATCAGTCTAGTGGGAAGAGGGTGGCTTCGAGGGTACCTTCCCATGAGGTGGAATCCCACAGAACATTACACCCCTGTCATCTACAGAGAACACATCTGTAATCCACAACACAGCAAGGCACATCTGCAGGGCCCAGCTGTTGTTGGGCCCAGGGCAGAGCAGCAGGAAGTTGAAGGGTTTTATATTCTGACCGGTGTGCACCTGAGTCCTGCCTGGCCCACGGCGCTGCCCAGCACCACCTAGCTGCATGCGGACATCACACACGTTTCCACATAGCGACAGAGACACAGCTCAATGCAAATTCAGGGAAGTCTGATGGAAGAGATATTTTCACTCTGTTTCCCTCCCCAGACTTTTTGGTGAAAGTTTGCTGATAATGTCCTTTCATTTGTCCCAGCAGTTGGATCAGGAACAGAAAATTGGATTAAGACCTTTATGCATTTCTCTGTTATTCGGGCTTCATTTGTTTGTTTTATAATCTTAAATAAAAATATTTAGATTCATTTATTTTATT